AGGAAATTTGGGGTAAATCCCTTATACAGTAAGTGTAACTAAGGCCGAAGATAGAATTGCCCTCTGACAGGGTGATAAAGGCTTATTAAATATCAATAATGATAGTAGCCAGGTGTTGGTTTGCTATGTGTACTATGTCATTTAAGTGACACTGCCACTCAATGAGGTAAACCCTATAACTGTCCTCAACGTTTGCATCAGGAACCGAAGTACAGAGGTTAAGTCACACGGCCAAGTTTGCAGAGTTTATCAGTGGTGGTGTCACAATTTGAACCCAGGCCTATCTGACCTCATGTTTTTAGGGAGAGTGTGCATCCTAAATTGATTCATTCTTAGGTCTCAAGCATATATTTTACTTCAGTGTTTATATTTCTGGCTGCATTTTGAGAGCCAAATATAAGAGAGGTTATCAGCTTTTCTATGCTCTCTTTTTTCTTCCAGTTGTGTTAATAATTATTGGTAGGGAATTTCTTATCTAGCAACTGCTAAAGGTGTACACTGCTACCAAGGGTGACATTCAGGGCCTCACAATCCAGCTGTGGAGATTCCTGCCTTCCTGTGCTCTCCTGTGGCCTGCCTTTTGGCTGATCACTTTTCTTCAGCCCCGGCATCCTATGCAATGGAAAAAAATGTCAAATGCAAATCCAATCTGTTTTCCCCATTCCTAGCGGCTGCAAGCTTCCTGTTTATATAATTGGGGAGAGAGGGACTGCATCCTATAACTACATTAGATGATTCTTTGGATGTTATTTAGCCACACCTCACTCCTCTCCAGCTGCCACCCACATCTGTAAAACAGAACCTGATACCTCCCTTGCCCCAGGCTTGGAGGAGAAAATGAGTAAACCTTTGTGAAAGGGCTTTGTAGTCAAACAGTGCAAGGAATGACTGTTATTTAGATCAGAAGAGAATTTGAATGGCTGCCAAGTAAGGCTTCAATAAGATTAAAGCTTTTGTTCCTCATTCCCCATGCAAAACATAACAATAATGGTGAGAGAAGCACTGCCTGTATAAAGGATAAAAGTGACCCCACCCCATGGATTAAATTCAAATTAACTCTCCCACCCCCAGTAATTCAAGGACTCTGAACATGGGCCAACTATGCAGGAGAGGACACTGCCAGCTGGCACCGCCCGCCAGCCGCATCAGTGTTTGGTTTTCCTTCTGGGAGTCACTGCAGATTACTCTCCTAGGTACTTTCTTCACAATGTCAAACAACAATTGTCCAGACATATATTTCATACTTTTAGAAAAAAACGTTGACGTTTCTCTCCGGCCACATTTCTGTTCTTTTCCGTCAGGGTTGCAGATGTATTTATTTCCTACTGAAAGTCTCTACATGGAAAAAACAAAAACAAAAACCCCAAAACGGGGGCTGTACTTCATCTCAGACTTGGATATGGAAATTTTAGACTTAGTTGATGAGGGACCATTGCTCTTTGTCTTTATTAATTTCTTTTGTTTAGCAGTTAGAAAATAATAACCAGTACCCAGGTGCCAAGTTTATTAATCTTGTTATCTCAGAGTCAGAAGGAGATACCACCTTTTCTATTTCTTAAAATGAATATGCTGATAATTAAAAGCCCAAGGTTTGTTCCAGTGATGGTTAATGAAAGCCAGAGAATTAGAACAGGCTTTCCACAGCACTTAAATTGTGGAGTAATTAATAATTTCTTCAGCAAGGCACTTCACAATCATCTTTATTAGTTAATTCTCATGCAAAACGGGGTGGGTGAGTACAATATCATTATTAGGATTTCTCTGATAATCAAAAAACGTGTGGTATGGAATCATGTTTTGCAATCTCTGTATCTAAGCCATCTGGGAGAAGAAAGTGAAGTATAAATCAACTCTTAGTAAATCAATGTAAAAAAAATGGGTCATTGTGGTTCTCATCTATTTTTTGACAAGGGCATTGAAAATAGGGTGATGCAGGTGAGTTATCCTAATAGCTTCACTGAGAAGCATCTCTCTCCCCAGTTTCTGACTTCTCATTAAGCACAATAAGTTCAGGACAAACTGTGGCCCAGGACTGACTGCAGCATTATTCTGGGAACACAAAATACTACCTAGTGGTTAAGTGGGCAGCATAGGAGCAGACTACCTGGATTTGAATCTCAGCTCTGCCCCTTCCAAGTCACATGGCTTTGGGTAAGTGATTTCACCTCCCTGTGCCTCAATTCCTTCATCTTTAAATTGGAGTTAATATCATCTGCCCTATAGAATGATCATGAAGTTTAAATAAATGACAGTGATGACTGGTATGCAGTGAAAGTATGTAATAAGTATTAGCCATTACTATGAAATGCAGTGCAACCATTAAAAATAAAATATTATAGACTAAAGAATATATTAGATGGTATAATTGTTTGAAATACATTGTTTGGTTAAGAAAACAGAAGACAAAATATGATACATAGTGAAAAATTCCTAAATTAAAAGTATGCACATAAGAATATATATAAAAATGCTGGAATGCTGCAAGGATGTGTATAAAATATTACCAGAGCTTATCTCTGTACAGTGAGATTATCGGTAGTTTTTAAAATTTGTTAAGGTCTAGATTTTCAAAGTTTTCTCTAACATATAGTATGTTTATAATAAGAAAACAAAAATTATTCAAAAAACTATCCCCTTCCAGTATAAGAAATTTCTGATAACACCCAAAGTTTTGGGGCTGGAAAACCCCTGCATCATGTAATTGAACAATTTTCCTAAAACAGATGCTTTATTGCTGGAGAATTCTGTATCTCTGAATTATAAGAAACTATTTTGAACATATGGACATTGGGCAGTACTTTGGCACACCTGACATTTTAGTTAGAAACATATTGTTCAAGAAGAGTCTGTAGATCTGTTACATAATCTCCTAAATCAACGAATTTAAGGCAAAATAAATTCAACTGTACCACAGAAAAGTGAAATGTAAGTGGGTTAGGTGTGCAATGGACTTATTTAATAAACCCTGGCCATCATCAAAACACTATCAAGAGGAAATTTTTTGTTTGAACTATTTGGATTTACTACTGACTAGGATAAAGAACAACAAGTCTATTTTAGAGTCTAATAATAAAATTTATTTTGTTGCCCTAATTAGCCACAAGGGTTCAGGAATTTCTTTGGGAATTTTAAAGAAAGACTTTTCCTATCCCACCCCACCCCCATTGCAAATTGTAAGGCTGCCTGGTGAAGGAGTGAGCTCATCCCACTTTAATGATACTTCTCGCAATTTTTTATTATAAATCTAGCGACTGAATTGTGAAAGTTGTGCCTCAAAAGATAAATTAATAACTATTTCCTGCCTCAAATAAGAATGAATGCCAGAGATATTGACAAAGGCTGCCTTTTCCTGAACTATTCAAGTCAATATACCTTTCATATGTGGAGAGTGACACAGCTGTTATATTCTTTCTTCAGGGTGCTTTCGAATGAGCACCCACTGAATTTGTTTTAATTAGAGAAACAAGTTAAAGTTTTTACAACATCCATTTCCTCTGTTGCCCAGAAGATTTGTTCGCAACAGTCTCCTGAATTTTAAGTACTTTAAGCAAGAACATTCCTGTTTCTCCAATAAATCAATTTACCAGATCACAAAGCTTTGGGGAAATTTAAGAAATGACAAGCAGAACACAACTAACTAAGAGAGGACATCGCCCAAGAAATGGTTTAGCAGAGGCCTCAAGGATTCATAACTATTGAACTCTGTATTGAAGTTCTGGGAGATGTAGAGGAACAACAAAGAGATCCTAGATGACCAACATTTGTGAAAAATCTCTCTTCTTCCCCGTCTTTTGAAAATAACCCACAGGCACCCAAGCAAAGTACAATTCTGGGGCTGGCCCAAGGCCCTTCAACCTTTAAAAGCAACTCTACTTAGCCTTTTTATTACTCCGTTTGGGAAAACAAAGCAAAAATAAAGCAAACAAATAAAAATAAGCCATAAATAGGTGAAAATTAAAGAAAAAAAATGTTTAGTGCCATGACATAATTTAACGGTTAAAACAAACGTCCCTAAAAATATAGTACAATATGTCCTTTGAGGAATCAAATTCCAGCCTGAGAATCAAAACAGTCTATTCATTCATTGTACAAATATTATCAAAGTCTTACCATGTACTTAGTATTTCATAAAGCACTGGGAATTCAGAGGTGAGCAGGTAGTCCAAGTCCTTGTCTTCAAAGACCTGGGGACAAATAAATAAAAAATTCTATAACTTCAGTTATGATAAATACTATTGAGAAAACTATGAATTTTAAATACTTGTTACTATCTGTATTACTTGTTTTAGGGCCTAGTGTCCTCCTCCTTTCACTGGACTCTTACCTAATATTGGGTCCATGTGGTATCCAAGAAAGCCTTTTTGGAGACGGTGCTAGTTTCCTATGGTTGCCATAGAAAATTACCACAGATTTAATAAGTGTTATCTCACAGTTTCTGTACGTCAGAAGCCTGGGTGAGCTTGATTGGGTCCTCTGCGTAGGGTCACAAGCTGAAATCAAGGCTGTGTTGCTTACTGGGAGCTCTGAGAAAGCACCCACTTCCCAGCTCATTCAGGTTGTTGGCCAAATTCAGTTTCTTGCACTTGTAGGACTGAGAGCCCCACACTTCTTGTTGGCTGTCTGCAATCCTTCTCATCTTTTCTAGGTGGCCCTCCAGCAGTGGTGGGTTGCGTCCTTCACATGCCTAGAATCTCTGAGTTCTCCTTCCACTACATCAGACGTTCTCGTCTGCCCTGAGCCCCGAGAAAACTCTGTGGTTAAGGGCTGATGTGATTATACCGAGTCCACCTGGATAATCTAGTAACCTTAATTACATTTGCGAAGTCCCCTTTGCCATGTAACATAACATACTCGTAGGTTCCAAAGAACAGGACATGAACATCTTTGGGGGAGCCATTCTGCCTACGCCAGGTAAATTACAATATTTCTACCAATAGCTTCTGTTTATTTACCCCAAAAGAATCTGTACCTAATGAGCATGGGCTGTTCTTTATTTCTAGGACATTCACATGGCCAGGAGATTATATGATATGGCTGCTCAAACAAGTCCTGAGGCTCACATACCTGTGTCACTTGCCCTCATGAAACTGGAAACTGTGCACTTGCTCCAAGATACCCTGTTTTTTAACGTAAGTTTTTCTCAAATGGGTCCCAAGTCTCCGAAAACTCCAATAAGCAACATTGGGTGGTGGGGTGGAGAGAGATGATAGTTATGAACAAAGTGGGAGGCTTGGTTTTTTTGTTTTTGTTTTTGTTTTTGACAGAATGTCTCTTGCCAGCAGTTTACAATGCAATGGAAATGGATAAAACTGGACAACACCCTTGCACCATACTGGGATTTGTTTGGGATTGGCCTAATTATTGCAGCGCTGATCTTCTTGCTTAGAAATCGCTATGGGTAGGATCTAGATCATAGGAAAACCTGCTCAAGAGAACCAGTTTACTCCAAGGTATCCTTGCTAAATAAAGAACTCCCTCATCAAACTCAGGAGTCTGCTGCAGATTTCCCATACAGCCCTGTGATGGAAAATGGACAAAGCTTGGGACTTATCCTCTGAGAAACCATTTCAGGCTTCCTGCTTAGTTGAGGTGACCACTCGAGGAGTACTGGGGACTGGTCACCTAACACTTCATCATAAACTTGTCATCTTGGTGATCTAGTTCTGAGTTTGGGATAAAGACGACCCATTTTCATGTTATTATAATAACCTTTCAAGAGGACAAAATGGGTCCTCTTGGCTCCTACAGACACAGCAAGGTAGGGAGTAGGGGAAGTTCTGGGAGGGTAGGAACAGACCCCTCAGAATCTGATAAAGACAAAAACTATAGATAGACCCTTCATCTTATGGGAATGATCCTGTGAACTGCATCATAAGCCTACTGAGCAAAAGCCCCTGTGGCATGCTGTGCTAGGGGGCTGACCTGGACTCCTCACCAAGGGGCCTTCTAGCAAAGCTCCATTAACAACTGAGTAGCAAATATTGTCATCTGGGGTCTGTCCGCAACCCTCTCTCCCATCCCTGTTTGGAATCCTGTTCTATCTGGGGAATCCCCTGTGTGGTACCCATAGAGTGGGTTGCTACTAGCCTCCTGGGACAGAAGCTAAAATGTACAGCTCTCTCTCTACCCTGACAGGCAGAGCAGGGCCCCAGGACTGGGGAAAGGGTAGGTGAGGAGAGTTCAGGAGGCCCATGACTCATATCAAGGGCCAGGCTTGAATCTCAGTTCCACAACTCTTCAGAGATTCGACCTCTCTGAGTCTCAGTCTGCAAAATGAGAAAAATAATACCTGTATTAGAGAGCTGGCATGAGGATTAAGGGGGATAACATCTGTAAAGGGACTATCACAGGGCCTGGCTTCTAGAAAGAACTCCATACATGGTGGCTTTTAATACTCTTCAAAATCTCATGGCAAATTGGCTGGAATATAGGGACAGCTGAATTGATAACAATCTCTGTGGTTTCAGGGTGCTGCAGTCAGTTCTCCAGCCAAAATGCTGGGCATTTTGGTGGGAAAAGGTCCTGCTTGCCTACTTGAAATCCAACCTAGGGACAAGAAAAGAGTTAATTAATAACATCAATCAAAATCAGAAAGCAGAATGAAATGGGGGAACGCTGGGTTTGGAACAAAACAACCTGGATTTGAGGTCTGACTCTGTCCCTTAGTAGTTCTATGACTTTGGGCATAATTTCTCCAAACATCAGTTTTTCCTCCATAAAATGGAATTAATTTCTACTTCACTGGAGGATCGTGAGGCTTAAAAAAGCCTAACTTCAAAAGTGCTTGTTAAGCATTGTGCATACACACACTAGCCACAGTCATTTATTTGGCAGTGAACTACTCCTGGCCTGTCTGAGGTCCAGGTGTTCAGAATTTCCTGGAAACGATTCCTGATCTACTAGAGCGTTCCAGTACCAATGGATGCAGACTAACTTATACAAATGTACAAGGAAGGAGCAGGCATCCCAAGGAAGGATGGACAGGCTGGCCATGCAATTATATATCGCACAGGTTTCTGGAATGTGCATGTCACAGACAAGGATTAGGGCCAAGAGGAAAGTGTGGAAGGCCAAGTAGGTGAATCCTGCCTCCAAGTCTCGATGACACATGAATTCCTTAGTGGTAAAGCTTGTGAAAGGGGCTGCAGGCAGGGGTGAAGGGGAGACCCCCTTTTGTGACTTGTCGTGTAGAGTAGCACACTGCCTAAAATTTAGGAGCAATGGCAACATAAGCTCATAAATTTCCCATTTCAACTAATTGCTCCAAGTAAATGTGAGCAAAGGCCTTGAAAGTATGGCGGTTTAGAGTGTTGGAATAATTCAAGTGTCCATTTCTGGGCCTCTTCTCTGGAGTCGCCGCTGGAGCAGTTCCTGTCACTGCGGTGCGTAGATGGGCCCCTGCTGGCACCTGGGCAGCTTGATGATAACTGACCAAGGGAGAAAGAGCCTCCACCTGCAAGTCTCTTCTACTTCCTGGTTATGACAGTTCCACCTCTCCACAGGCACACAAAAGCCCCTATTCTCTTTCCTGCTTCTGATAGCTTGGAATAAAAACTGATAGCCTATAGACTACAAGGAAACTTAAAAATAAATCTAATTTTCTTTGTAACTTCTTTTTTTCCTTCCCTGATTCTTTATTAAAGTGGAGTAGCTGTTCAAGTCAATACATTTTGTTAAAAAGAAAGAATTTTTTTTTCTAGAGTAGCAAGAGGAACATGCTTTTGGAATTCTACGCTTTCCCTCCGAGCCTTAAATGGCAGGTTTTAACAGGTATGGGTGGGAGTGGCTGGGGAAGAGAGACAAGACAATCAAGTCCTAAGGGAAGCAGGGGCAGGAGGTGCTTGCTGCAGTCCCATCTCTGGGAACCCTAGAAAGCCGGAGGGGAGACTGTGGTGAGGCAGAGAAGAGGAGAAAGGAATACTACTATGGAAACCCGCCATGTGCCAGACGGTTTTCTGTTTTTCATTCCATCTTTGTGGTGAGGCCAGGAGGTAGATATAACTACCTCTGTCACACAGGAGGAAACTGAGGCTGGGAGAAGCTATGTAACTTGTTAAGATCACATAATAGTGTGATTACATAATAATAAATAATGAAGCTAGAATTTGAGTCCAGAAGTAACTCCAAAATACATTCTTTCCTCTATATTACTTTTCCAGTTATCTCTTGCTGCTTAACAAACTACTCCAAAACTTAGTCACTTAAAACAACATTTTATTATATCTCAGGAATTTGGACAGGGCATGGCTGTGTGATTCTTCTGTTCCACATGGCATCAACAGGTCACTTGTTGGTGTCCGCCTCATGGATGGCCTGTTATAGAGAGTGCAAGACAGCTTTATTCACATCCCTGGCACCTTGGCAGGGATGGCTGGAAGGCGGCTCAGCTGGGAGTGTTGACCAGATGTGACCTCTTCAACAAGGCAGACGGAATAGTAATACTTTTTACACGGCAGCTCAGGGCTCCCTGAGAATGTTCACAGAGACCCAGACAAAGCTGCAAGTCTCCTGAGACTTCACCTCAGATACCACTTCTGCTGCATTCTATTGGTCAAGCATTAGATTCTGCCTCTCAATGGTAGGAATAGCAAGGAATTTGCTGCCATATTTAACCAACCAGAAATATACTGTTTAAACCTTTACCAAAGGTTACATAAATTTCAGTACAAAAATTGGCAGAAGAGAAATGCAGCCTGGACACTGAGCTGCTTATCTTAGAAGACAAGGTGTGGGCAGACTAGTCAGATCCATGCCTGGATCTCTTTGTCTTCCCATCCTACAGACTGAAGAAATTCACATGTCTGATTGGAGAGAAGAAAAGGTGTTGCCCTCTCTTCCTCAGACAGGTGCGCGCGCGCGCGCGCGCGCGCGCACACACACACACACACACACACACACACACACACACACACACACTGCTCTATTATTTTTCTGCTCTGAGCTTAAGTGATATGAGCTAAGGAGTGCAGAGTCCCAGGATGATTGGGATTCTCCCCTGAAGTAGCCTAGGTGCAGGCTTCACTCGGTGTCTCAGGACTCACACCTGACATGCACTCAGCTGATGCGAGACCTACCCCTGGTCCTCTCCACTCCTTCCATCCTCATGCATCGTCCCTTCCCGATCCCAAGTCCCTATAAACCCATCTCCTTTGCCTCATCCTCTGGAACTAAAGTCCTCCTGTGAGATGTGGCCTTCAGCATAGGTTGCTGTCAGCATTGTTTTCAGCATCCTCTGTCCTACATACAGTTCTGCTGCCAGATGGGGAAAGCAGGAAACTTTACACCCTTGGATTGGGGAGTGGGGAAAACAGGCTTCACTGTGGACTGGCCTCTAGATTGGAATGTATGAAAATATCAGATATCTCTTTTGCACTGAGAAGTTCATTCTCCTGTTAATGTATCTACTAAACCTTATTATTCAAAAAGAGCCTCAGCTCCTCCTCTGCCCTAATATCGGAGCCACCCTCCTGTTACGTTAGCACTGGAAGGTGTCAGGCCTCTGGTAATGAAGTTGGGGAGAAACCCTTCCAAACTATCCTACTATTCAGGTAAGGGTCCAAGGGTTACTGATTAGAGACTTACGGCCTAGAAAATTAATGGCTTTAAATTTTTTAAATTTAATTTTACACTGTATTTTATGCTATTTTAAATTACATGATTAGAAATCCCAAAGGTCCCATTTTCCCATAAATCTTCACAAATTATCTAGCCATGCATATCATTTTTGTTCCACAGTCAGCAACTTCAATGAGCTTTAGATGAAAATTCTTCCAACTTCTTCCAGGTTCTCCCACTACCTTGGACTGTTCTCCACATCATTTAGCAAAGAGAACACACTGACCCACAGCAAATGCACAGTCTCCAAAGAGATTTTCCCCTAATAGAACTAAAGATAAGGGAAAGCAGAGATGGGCTGTAATAATATTCCATCCCCTTCTTCACAATAACAGAAAATTTGGACCAGGACAATGGTTCCTGAGCAATCTGAGGTCATCTTCATGTTAAGAAAACAGGTAGATTTGCATTCCTAAAACAACCATGGGGTCTCTGTGGTATCACTGTGGGGCCTGGCCCCAGCAAACCTGCCAACTGAATTAGTTGACTGTCTCAGCCAACACAGACGCAGCACTGGCTTGGCAATCGTACAGGCCCCACGATGAATCTGAGTTGAGCCAAGTAGTTTATGCATTATCCAAAGATCTGAAACCAAGCAGAAAGGGGGGTGGATACTATGGGAATGAAAGGGCCTCGCTTCACAAAGCCCCAAATACATTTCAAACCTAAGTGAGTGATGTGCCTGTCTTCGTTTACATTCCCCCAGAAGCTGCCCATGAGACAAGGATTTGCGTGTGAGTAGTTTACTTGGTAAGGAATCTCAGGAAACACAGGTAGAGAAGTGAAGAAGTGAGAGGGGGAAGGAAGCTAGTGCAGGGTGGTTATCAGGCACCTGGAGCTCAATTCCAACGGGGGCCTCTTGTGTGCACCTCATTGTCATCCCACCCAAGGGACAAGGGTGTTGCAAGCACTCGGCCAAGAACCTGCTCTCGGGAAGCTTGGAATGGGTAGTGTAGAAAAGACCCCATCATTAAGGCACCCACCATGTGCCAGGTGTTTTCCTAGACTTAGCGCATTTCATCCTCCTAAACCCTCTGCGAGGTGGGATTTGGCCATTTTATAGACACGCCGTGCAATGATCCGATCACTGCTTCAGAATGATATAACCATTAGCAGAGGACATCTAAAACCAGAATCATGGTATTATGATTCTAGCTGATGGACAGTTTCTGTATCTAAAAGAAATGCAGAGGCTAGCAGAGTTGATGGATTGACAAATGTAAGCAGTATGTTAGAAGAGCTGAAGGCAGTAAGTAGACTGTGGCCAGCCTGGCTTGATTCGGCCTGAGACTCCTAAGTGGCGGGGAAGGGAGTGTGGGACATGGTCAGTTTCTGCTGTTTCCTTCCCTCCCCCTTTCCTACCTATCTCTGGCTCCTCCGTGATTGAAGGGGGGGAGGGGATGGTGAGAAGTGTGGCCTAAAGAAAAGATTTGACTAAACCAGCACAGATCCCACAAAGGTGCCTGCTGCGCATGGAGGTTTACCATGTTGACGCCCATGGAGCACTTTTGTGGCTTCTTGGGGATTTCCTGGCTGAAAACCTTCTATCTTTGTTTAGGGCGCCTGAAAGCAGAGCCTGAGACAAGGATTTGAGTATAGGTAGTTCATTGGGGAGGTGATCCCAGGATTCAAAAGTGAGGGAGCGGGAAGGATAAAAAGCCGTTAAAAGGTACGTTACTGAGGTCACTGCTATAGGCATTGGGGGTTTATTCCACCAAGAGCTGAAGCTTACAAACTATCCCCCGGAATTATCCATTCGAAAGACAGGAGGCCGGACACTTACCCACCAGCTCCCTTATCCATCATTTGAGAATTGCTCCAGTGTGCATTAACTACCGTCACCCCTTCTAGGCTGTTTCTCAGAAGCTCTGGGGAAGCCTGAGACAAAAAGGACTCATGCCTTCCCTTAATGGTGGACACAGTGGAGTCTGAGGTAGCAGGGAAGGGCCCTCCACAGCTGCAGCTGGGTCACAGGTGAGCAGTGGGAGTATCTGCTGCATGAGTAAGGCCTCCTGAGCCCCACGACCCTGGGCATCTATCAGACTCTCTCAGGGAATTCCCTACCTGTGGTGGGCTGAATAACGGCCCCTAAAAGACAAACATGTCCTAATCCCTGGAAAGTGTGAATGTTAACCTTACATGTCTAAAAAGACTTTGTAGAGGGCCGGCCGAGTGGCTCAGTTGGTTAAGAGTTCGCTCAAGAGTGCGAGCTCTGAGCAACAGCGGTTCGAGTCCCAGCCTGAGCTGAGCTGCCGCTGAGCTGCCAACAGGTGACAGGATGGCTCAGCTAAAAAAAAAAAATTTAAAAATTAAAAAATAAATAAAAAAGGACTTTGCAGAAGTGATTTTGAGATGGGGAGAGTATCCTGGATTATTCAGATGGGACTTAAATGCAATCAAAGCATTAATAGATGCAGAAATTTGACACAGAAGGAGGCTATATGACCACGGAGACAGAGATTAGTGACACGGTCACAAGCCAGAGAATGCCAGCAGTCACCACAAGCCGGAAGAGGCAAGGGTTGGATACTCCCCCGAGCCTACAAAGGGAGTGCGGTCTAGCCAACACCTTGCTTCCAGACATCTGGCCTCCACAGTTGTGAGGGAATAATAAATACCTGTTGTTTTAAGCAACCAATTTTGTGGTAATTTTTAACAATCATCCTAGGAAACGGATACAGTATCATCTCTGTGGGTAGGTCTCAGCTCCATTCCTTGAGCTATTGTTCCCTGAAAAACACATATTCTTGCCCCTGCTCTTGGGAGAAGGGCAGCCAGCTCTGAGGGCAGCCCAGCGTCTGCTGCTCTCATGCTCTTCCCTAGGTATGTCACACCCCACTCCACTGTACACCCCAAATTCCAGGGGCCACAGATCGAGTTCTCCAATTACCTCCCTTTGAGCCCCTCTCTTTGGTTGAAGTTGAGGGGAGAGCGCCCTCTTTCCCTCCCCCATTGGAAATGCAATAGTCCTCAGAAAATTCCCTGAAAGCAAGTTTTGCCTCCACTGTCCTACTTCAACCCTTGAATACTCCAGCCACCACCCTGCGCCTCTTTGCAAGTCTAACTCAGGACATCTAGCCCCTCAGCCTTTGGGCCTCAGCACAAACCAAGGCACACCCAGAATTCCCTGTCTGACAATTTCATCACCGAGGAGTGTGCTCTGGGCTGGGGAGGAGTCCAGCCCTAGATGTGCTGGGGGCCTCCGGCAAGTCACTTCACCTCTCTGGCTTTGCAGTTTTCTTCTCAGGAAGATGAGCGGGTTGGAAGCATCTACAGTTCCGAAGCCACGAAGCTGTCAGTGGTGTGCATAGGTGTAACTTAGGAGCTAAGAGGGGACCCCCTAACCTGTGGTAGGTCAGAAAGGGCTCCTTCAGCCAAGAACTGGCATTTGTGCGCTAACTAAAGGTCTGTAATGTAAGTTTGTAATGGGTTTATAAAAATAGTGTTTGCCAACTGTATTTCACAGCCACACAAAAAACACCTGAGGCATCAGAGAGGAAATTTAATTTTTTAAAATTTAGAACCAAGAAAAGGAAGGAAGGCGGGGTAGAGACATGAGCCTTGGATTTCATATTAAATTTTGCTCCATGCAATGCTACAGCTTTTCCTACCTGTCTGTCTTCATTCCTTACTCTGCCAAACCGAATTCTTTTTCCCACGGAGTATTTTACCAGTGTATGTAATATAGGAAAAATGTTCACCTCTTCTAAGACACATCTTTTTATAAGAAAAGGTACCAACCCATAGCAACAATAAATGTGCCATTCTAACAATAGCTTGCTATTAACAAGAAAAAAATCATAAAACTAAAAATAGTGCTTCCACTGGAACTAACATGAGGGAAAGTAGTCATGAGCTGAATATGTATTTCCAGAGGCACAATATACCTGAAGCTTTAAAGCCTCCCAAACTCCTGAACTCCGGAAGTGTCTCTTCTCAGGTTCTGCTTTGGGGGAAACCCAAACTAAAACAATGTGAAGAAAGTACTGTCACATTTTCCAGGTAAGGACATCCTGGCTCAGAGAGCAGATCAGCATCATGTTCAAGGTCACACTGCCAGTTAGTGAAAAGATTTAGGATCAAACCCAAAGCCAGTGCTCTTTATTCCATCCTATCCTCCCCCTCATGTCATCTTACTGTCAAATGTAGCTTTCAAAGTGATACCTATTATTTTTCATTTTCCCATTTAAAATATTAAAGTAGGCAAAAGATAAAATTTGTTTCTTTTGAAAAAATCCTTTTCTATCATGTTTCAAAAGCATCATAGAGAAAACCTTACCAACATACAAATATCCAAAAGGCATCATTAATCTTGTCATGCAATTCACCGATGACTTAAAGTTGAATGTGAAGTCTTGATTGTGATTACTCAATACTATTGACCGATACTATTGTGATTGTTCTCTGAGTTACACCAACTTCCCACACTGCCTGATTTTCTCTCCCATTATCTCCCCCTTCCCCACTCTATGTAAATATGCTTTCCAAAGATTGCTCCCTTTTTTTTTTCTTAAAGATTTGTATTGGGGAATTGGGGGATGGGAACAGTGCTGGGGAATTGGGGGAAGGGGAACAGACAAGTTGCTGTCGTTTTGTTCTTCAGTCTAGTTGTGGAGGACGTCGCTTCACTGGCCCAAGCTGGCAACATCATTGCGCTCTTCCCGGGCGAGGCACATCAGTCGCTGGCCTCTGGACGGCCACTCACAGGGACTGCAGCCTACGCTGTCACTGGCGACCCACAGCAGGCCAGCTCCAGGTCGAGCTGTTGTTCAGCATCTTAGCTGAAGAGGGCAGTGTCACTGGCCCTCATATATGTGGGATCCGAACCGGGGCCCTCTGGCGTCCCAAGCCAGCTCTTAACCAATGCGCCACTCGGCTGGCCCGACTGCTCCCTTTTCTTAATGGACGATGTATGTAGTAGGTACCATCAGTGCCCCACTCATGTCCCCTCAGTCCAGCTCTGAGGCCACCTGCACCTTCCATGGGCAGTCCCCTGCATCTATGGCTTCCTATCTCAAGCACCTGCATTCCTTTGCCTGAGGAGCCTCTCCGGCTGCAAGAGCATTCTTGGCCACACAGGGCAGGCCAGAAGGGCCAGGAGTTCAAATTCCCAATAAGGAAGAGGATTGCCCAGTTTCCTTGCCCCTTGGTGGGCTGATTCAGAGTACTTTCTTTTGAGTCTCTCAGAAGGTGTCAGCAGGACTGACCCCAGTTGTCCACTGTAGTCATCTGCTCATTAACATATTTTGTGTTAGCTTTCCTCCCTTCCACTTTTCCACTCCTTCACATTCCCACTCCCTCTCCAAATGAACTACTTGTGCTCACATTCTTGTCTCAGGGTGTGCTTTTCGGAAAACCCAAACCAAGAAAGAGTCTAAGGGAAAAATCATGTTGAATATACCAGAAGACACAGAGATAATAACCAAGCTGGGAATAAAATCAATATGTATTTATAGATTGTACACTCCGTGGGAGCAGCAATCACTTTTTTTTTATTCACCATTGTATCTTCAGTATCTAGCACTGCACATAATTGGTCTCAAATACTTTTTAAATAGATGATTAATTAATTAATTAATTAATGCATGAGGATGCCTAGCTCTCTCTTAAGGTTCTTCGAACTTTAAAATGACAAGTTATCCTAATTAATGTCAAAGAAAAGACTGGGATTATAAAAGCGGAATCTGAAATAATGTAAAATTTAAAGAACCATCTATAAGATTTGAATAAATGGAAAAATATATCTTGTTTGAAAAGAAAGATGCCAAAATATAGATGTTAATTTTCCCTAAATTAATCTTTAAATATAATACATCCTTAATATTATAACTACCAACAGAATGCTTTTTAACCGAGGCAAATTACTTCCAAAGTTTATAAGGAAAATAAACATAGATGAATAGCAGGGACAATTAAGGAAAAGGAAATAAGGAATGGGATCATTACTGTGCCGTCTATCTCTCAGTGGCTGTTAACACTAAATAGCACTTGATAGCACCACAGTTTTGAAAGGGGAGAGGACAGAGGGTTTATCCTTATAATATTCATTCATTCATTTTCTCATTTATTCACCATTTCCCAAGAGCCTACTCAGTGTACGCCACTTGTCACTACATATAACTGCCTTTTATTAAATAAGTAAAACTTGCAATGTATAATAAGCACTTAGGACACTGGTCCATTGTAAGCACTATGGGTTATCTGTTACTTATTTCATGAATTCTAAAATATATTTTTTTCCAAATTTTAACATCTCCAAAATTAGGATACAACTCACAATGAATAGCTCTTAGATTTGAAGCAATCCCATTATTTATTATTCTTCTCCATTTGACAGGTGGCCCCTTAATAGCTGGAGCTTTCATTATTACACCCCAGCACCTGGCACGGTGGCTGAGATCTCATAGGTGCCAAGTGAATCAGTGCAGTGATTGCAAAAAAGAACAAAGCCTTCCCTGAGGTCTCCCCACCTCCACCACACACAGACTGCACATTAAACCTCTCCTCCAAACTCCCAAGGTGCTTCGGTCAAAGCTCCCTTCTGGCACATCTCGTATTCCACCTTGAACTACAGTAGAGTGTGTGTGTTACCGTACCCACTGAAATGACGATGGGGCCCCTGCCTTACTCATCTGAGGATCGCCATGTCCTATTTTGCACAGTGCCTTCACTGAGTCTCAACAAAATACTTTTGGTTGCAAGGACGTACACAATGTCAGCTTCACTGTGGTCTCCAGTCAGCCCAGCTGTGAGCTGTGTGAGGGCGGCGATTATAGGTGCTTCCCATCTCCAGGTATCCAGTGCTTCATATACGAGGTCTGACAATGAAGTTCACTAGCTTGTTGCAACAATGTTGTTAACCTTTTGTGATATCAGAGGGATTATTCATTATGAATTTGTATCAACTGAACAAACAGTTAACCAAATTTGTTATTTGGAAGTGCTCAAAAGGCTGCGTGAACAAGTTAGACGAAAATGACCTGAACTTTTCACCAACCATTCATAGCTCTTGCATCATGACAATGCACCAGCTTACACAGCACTGTCTGTGAGGGAGTTTTTAGCCAGTAAATAACTGTATTGGAACACCCTCCCTACTCACCTGATCTGGCCCGCATTGACTTCTTTCTTTACCTGAAGATAAAGGAAATATTGAAAGAAAGACATTTTGATTACATTCAGGACACCAGGATAATATGATGACAGCTCTGATGGCCATTCCAGTAAAAGAGTTCCAAAATTGCTTTGAGGGGTGGACTAGGCGCAGGCGTTGGTGCATAGCTTCCCAAGGGGAGTACTTCGAAGGTAACTGTAGTGGTATTCAGCAATGAGGTATGTAGCACTTTTCTTAGGATAAGTTCGTGAACTTAATTGTCCTATCTCGTATAGTAGGTGCTCAGTTAAGTACTGAATGATAATCTTGTCCTTTCTTTACCCCCAATCTGGTCTGACACAGCCTTCCTCTCCAACACAAGCCCATCACAAAGTGCACAACCCGTTTCATAACCAACACAGCAGCTGAAGTCCTTTACCTGACTACAACAGAAGGAAATTAAAATGGGGTCCATCTGTAATTCAGTTGTTTCTCCTCAGGAAAGCTATTGCTCTGGAGCAGGGTCTATAGCTTTTAAAACTCCTGATGTGAAATTAAGCCAGAATTTCTGGGAATGGGAGCCAGGCAGCAGCATTTTTTTTTTAGTCCTCAACATGCAGCCCAGGTTGAGGTCAACTGTAACCTGCAGCACAGAAATTTGCTCCAAACAAATTCAGTATAAGGGATGACTCTAGGTTTTGTAAAGGAATCAATACCAAAAGCCCTTGGAATGGAGAGCTGCCCCAGGGAGTTTGATAAAGTTCACTTGCCACACCTTTCATGCCTCTACCTCCTAGGTAGGGGAGGCAGGGCAGCTGGACAGCTCTGCAGGGGTCACTAAATAACATGAAGCTGCTGTAGGCCACTGGACAAGACTTTGGAGCACCTACCCTCCGGGCCTGTCTCTCCACCACCAGCTAGTGACCTCAGGCAAATCAGTCCCTCTGTGGGACTCGGTTACTGCAAACAAGGTTATTCTGATGTCTTACAGTTCAAAGTTTTATAATTCCAATCTACCCTCTCAAATGAAAAATTAAGGTCTATAGCTGAAAAAATGTTTTAAAATCTTTACGTGTGTGGCAAGAATAGAATTATTTTTTAGGTTGTGAGATTTCTTAGCTTTTTTTTTTTTGGCCACCTAATTAATTTCACCCAGCATTTGTACCTATGTTTTGCTACAGAAACGTTTTTTTTTTTTTTTAAAGATTTTTATTGGGTAATTGGGGGGATGGGAACAGTACTGGGGAATTAGGAGAAGGGGAACAGACAAGTTGCTGTCGTTTTGTTCTTCACTCTAGTTGTGGAGGACACTGCTTCACTGGCCCAAGTTGGCACCATCATTGCGCTCTTCCCTGGCGAGGCAGATCAGTCGCCGGCTTCTGGACGGCCGCTCACTGCGGCTGCTGGCCACTCACGCTGGCTGCTGGCCGCTCACGCTGGCTGCTGGCTACACACGGTAGCCCATGGCAACCCACTGCTACAGGGACTGCAGCCTACGCCGTCGCCAGCGACTCACAACAGCCCAGCTCCAGGTTGAGCTGTTGTTCAGCATCTTAGCTGTAGAGGGCAGTGTCACTGGCCCTCATATGTGGGATCCGAACCGGGGCCCTCTGGCATCCCAAGCGAGTTCTTAACCATCGCGCCACTCGGCCGGCCCCAGAAACGTTTTTTTGTAATATAAGCTTGTCTGAAATGAGTTATCGTAACTTGTATTTCGTTAATCAGAAAATGTCTATGTAAAGACAAATTGCCTCTAAAAAAAAGGAACATTCAATCTTCACCTAATAGAGCATTAAACAAATCTCTTGTATTTGAGATCTATTTAGATTTTGTCATAGAGGCAAAACAGCTGTCTGAGGCCCTGTGATTTATTTTTTTTAAAAGGGACAGTGACTTCAAGCAGAATCTGTTTATTAATCAATCTTCTGTGTGAGTAAAAGGGAATTTTACATAGAAAAATGGTAAGCTAGCATCCCAACAGCAGTTAATAATTAATTCTTGAAGGGCCGGCTGAGTGGCTCAGTTGGTTAAGAGAACGAGCTCTGAGCAACAGGGTCGCCGGTTCGATTTCCACATGGGCCAGTGAGCTGCACCCCAGTTGAGCTGCCAACAGGTGGGAGGATGGCTCAGCTGGTGAGACAGCACGTGCTCCTAACAACAAGGTTGCCAGTTTGACTCCTGCATGGGATGGTGGGCTGCACCCCGTGCAACTAAGATTGAACACGGCACCTTGAGGTGAGAGGCTGAGAGCTGCCAACAGGAGGCCGGATGGTGACTGCACTTGGAGCTGAGCTAGCTGTGCCCTTCACAACTACGACTGAAGGACAGCAACTTGGCTGTTCCCCTTCCCCAATTCCCCAATAAAATCTTAACAATAATAATAATAAAAATAATAAATTCTTGAAAGCTTCTCTAAAATTCATTGTCTCGAATAGCTAACCTATCATGCTTACTGTGTGCCAGGCACTGTTCTAACCAAATGTATTATTAACTAATTTGATCTTCACAACTACCTTCCCAGGAGGATGCTCTCTCATCGTCCCTCTTTTACAGAAGAGGAAACTGGGGTAACTTTTCCAAGGCCACGCAGCTAGGACAACCAGGTCCAGAGGCCATTCTCTGTACCACTGCACTGGACTGCCTTGAGAAAGTTCATAAATAATTTTCCAGGTGAGTGGATTCTGATAACTGAATGTAGGTTTTCCTAAAACTATTGTATTTAACAAGCCGCTACAATGCCTAGCATTGTGCTAGGTTAATGTTTACCAAAAGAGCTCTTGCATGGTGCTCCTTGATAAAGTCTTATTGGGACATTAGTTCTGGAAGATGCCATAAAATATAGGTTCCTCTGGGAGACTCACAACATGAGCATATTAAAGGTCTGAGAAGTATTAAAGAAAGATGCCCATTTAATTTTGTTTAACACAATTTTTCCACGGCATAATACTACTGCTTCTAAGAGTGATTTGTTGCACAACAGCTAAGTAACATGCAAGGTAAGCTAGTTAGTGGTGGAAAGGGGATTCGATGGGTCTGATTTCAGAACTCATACTAATCATTCTACCTGGCCACCCTGGTTATCTAGTGATGGCTGGACATCTAGCCTGGACTCAAGACCTACCATTCCACAGTGTAACACCCAGTCAGCTCTGCTGCAGGCCCTGCTTTGACCTCATACCATGGTTCTAATCTTATTCTCCAGGACCAAGCCCTTCCCTGTCTTCCAGTACCAGCAGTTGTATTCCTGCCCTGTTCTCTACATCTAATTGCTTGGCTTGATACCCAGATTCCCCTGGAATAAGAGTCTAGTCTTGACTCCCATCCAGTAGCTGGTCCTAGGAATTTGCAGCTGAATGTCCCCGATGCCAACTGCCTGTCTTTCCAGTCTCCTGCTGTTTGCGGGGCTCCAGAGATCCCTACTGTCTGCCTGGCAGTACTCCGCCTGGGCCTTCCCTGCAGCTGACGGAATCCTGGTTCTGGTGGTGCCAATTCCCAAGGAACTGAACATTTAGCTGAAAAGGAACTCGTGGGTAGGAAATAATGTATCAAGTGCTAAAGGAAATGGAACTAACAAAAGTTCATGATGACCTGGGACAAGAAAACAAGATGATTTAAAGGACAACTGATCTTAGAGAGAGAAAGACCCAGAAGAGCATGGAGGTTGGGCTGCTCCGCAGCTACAGAGAAGCACAGGGCTGAATATATGCTGGAGACAATGGGTGGAATCACCAATCTGGTTCCAATACACAACTTGGGGCAGACAAAGATTATGGCAGGAGGGAGGGAGTGGAGGGAAAGAGTGCAAGTCATAGGCGGCTTTGACCTCTAAAAGGCGGCATACAAATCTGTTAATTGCACTAGCTTTGTCACATACAGGACTGAAGTCACATGCTGACTGCCATTAATGTGACCTTGGAGAAATTACCACCTCTCTGAGCCTTTCCTCATCTGAAAAATGGAGATAATTGTACTAATATCTACCTCAGGAGCTGTGAGGATGAAATAAGAATGCATATCAAGGCTTTAGCACACTGCCTGGCAGGGGTGTAACACTGAGCTTTAGAAGGAGGGCTTTACCAACTCATGACACCTTGGGGCAGGGTACATGAAGCTGTCTTTGGGAATAATGACTGTTCAACTGGCTTCTCAAGAAAAGATGCAGACCATCTGACAGAGATCACAAAGACCTGTCATATCTATTTCTTACTTGGTCCTCCAGACACTGGAAGCCTGAGCATTTCCTGTTCAGGTGTGACTTGCACTCAGGACCTTATCACCTACACAAATAACTGGGAACTTTCTGTAGAAATTGGAAACACTTCCCAAATACTGAATGTTTGGTGCCTGTGGGGAAATGTCATCTCCCATAGAAAATGCAGGAGGCAGTCCATGCTGCATATGTTAGGGTCTGAAGCCCTTCATCTGGCCCAGAAACTTAAAACAATAATGCACTCTAGACCACTGTTTAAGACTAAGGGACCTAAGGCAAATCAGTGCTCACCTTCTCAAACCTTATCCTCAGATGAAATTCAAGTTAACTCTGAAGGGAAAAGTAGTCTCCAGAACATGGACACGGAGTCTGAGAAATGGTAAAGAAGGGCAGGCAATCCTGTCCACTTCTGTCTTGGGATGCGGGTCCTAGGATCAGGCTGAATGTTCCTGCGATCACCCTGCCCAATGGCTCACAGCTATTTCCCCACCACAACATGATGGAGGGATGTCCCCTGCTTCCCTCAGTGACAGGGGCACCTTATGGCCATGATTATTAACCAACCAGAAGGAAGTGGAAACGTTTTGTTTGAAAAGCCCCTGAACGTGGGCGGCAGGCCCGTGGCCTCCTTTGAGCCTGAGTACCAAACCTGTAATTTTACAGAAGATTCTGAGGGCAAGGATTTGGAGTTTGCCTGCGCCTTAGGGACCAGCAGGACGAGGACCAAGCCCAGACCACCTGACTGCCAGTGCTGCCCTTCCCTATGCTTTCAGCTTCTCTTGGCAAGAGTTGGCCAGGTCTCCTTTGGAATTCTCCTTCCCAACCCCCATCCCCGTTCCCAATCTCAGCACAAGTACAGTTTAGACCTGGAATGCTCCTGATTATTACTCTGCAGGGCTGGCTCTGACGGAACCAGAACAGGTATCCTGAGCACATGCATGAGATTCTTGTATGAGAAGTCTGGAGTCTGGAGACGACGAACTACATCTGTCACTTGGAACATGCAGGCAGTTTACCTTTGCCTGGTTTTAGCAGTGGCTAGTGAGACAGGATCACCTCTGGCTTTGAAAAGGCCATGAACTATTGCCACAGCACTATGCTCATCTGAGAACCTGGTAACAAGTGCATGCTGTCAACAGTCCATCCTGATAACAAGCTGCCAGCAACTCAACAGCTAATGCAGAAGGGAACTGACTGAGGAAGCTGTGCAGTTGTTTAGCTCACTGAATTCTCAAGGTCAGAGTGTTCTCAAGTTCTCTGGTTTCATTTTGGATTCGCCCCAGTCAGGCTTGCAGAAAATTGATCCTAATATTCTTAGAAAATGAAATTTGAGGACTATTAAATGTTCCTTGGGAGGTTAGTTCTATTTTGAGATACCATGGACTCAAACCTGAAAGGTAAGACATTCTCAGGTCTAGTTTCCCCTGAGAACAAATGGAATATTTGTAGTTTATGTTGACTTTACATAATTTCAAATAAGCAAGCTAGGTTCTATCCTTAAAGTAACAGCTCAGTATATCCTGGGTACCCAACTTTTTCCAAAGAGAGCATATTAGTTATCTATTGCTGTGTTAACAAATTACTCCAAACATAGTGGCTTAAACAACAAACATTTAATACCTCACAGTTTCTGTAGATCAGGAATTTGGGAGTGGCTAATGTGAGTAGTTCTGGCTCAGGGTCTCTCATGAGGCTGCCGTCAAGCTGTCAGCCAGGATCACAGTCATCTGAAAGATAGACTCGGGTTGGAGAATCTGCTTCCAAGATGGCTCCCTCACACGGCTGTGGCAGTTCCTCACCTCCAGCTCCTCTCCACTGTGCTGCTTGAGTATCCTCAAGAAACGGCTGCTGGCTTTCCCAGAGAGTGATACCAGACAGAGCAAGGAGGCAGCAATGCCTTTTATTGCCATAAGTGACACACCACCACTTGCATATTCTATTTGTTGGAAGGGTATCAGTAAATTCAGCCTATACTCAGAGGGAGGGGAAGGAAGCCCACCTTTTAGAGAGAAGCATATCAAAGAATTTGTGGGTAGATTTTAAAACCACCAGATGCTAAAGCATTATTTCCTTATTTGTTAACAACTTACCACTGCCCACTGTACCTCCCATTATTTTTGAATTCATTTTTTTTAAACCAGCAAGATAGACACCTGTTAAGTATCCAGGCTGAGAACTAAAGTACACCAAGTTTTGGAAGAGCAGATCTACTTATGGTAAGTTTCCTGAAGATAAACTTCACACTATTCATGATGACATTAAAATACCCCACACCCCCAAAAAGCTCGTAACATCTCTTCTTAGGCAAGGGAGGCTAAAATCACTTGAAGAAATAATAATCACTGTACCAAGTATCCTCCTTTTTCCCAGATATCTATTAATATTCATTTCTTTCCTACACGAAAGCCAATCCAGTGTAAAATACTTTTATTCCATCCTTACTTAAGGGATATATACAGAGTATAAAAACTGTACATGTCTTCAATACAGGCCGTACTGTAATTGTTTCCACCTAGTGGATAAAAATGGTAACAACAGGGTTTGAATGGCTAGCTTCCATCTCAACAAATCCTGCAAAAATTCTTTCTATAAAGCAAACAATCTTTGTTTATAAATATAAATTTTCATACACACGGCTAGTTCTGGAGTTCTCCAGGCCAGTAACCTGGAGTACCGCTAAGGATCAGGAAATAATCTGGTCTCCCAGCAGTTGACAGATGTGCCAGTGTCCACAGTGCAGCCCGTTAGACTGACAACTGAAAGAGCACAGAAGAACTAGAAGCCTAGCACAGGGCCCTCAATCCTCATTTGTTAAGGAACCAAGAAAGCCCGCGCATTTTACTTCAAAGGAGAGTCCTCCCAAACCTCCTTCTTCTTTCCTGCCCTATACACTACTTGTAGAAACCTTCCAATCTGAATTTCGATCTGACAGCGGATCAGACAGAGCAAGAAGTGGCATTAAATAAAGTTCATTTTTGTCAAGCCATTGAGATTGACAACTGACAGCAAAACAAACCACCCCATTTTGGGGGTCAGCCTTTGTAGGAACAAGCAATGCAGTACAACTTGAGTTTATGACAGTAACTGTGGAGTTAGAAAGAAATGACTATGTTCCATACACTGTTTAAGAATGTTACATATTTTGGGGCCGGCTGAGTGGCGCGTTGGTTAAGAGCTGGCTTGGGACACCAGCTCTGAGCAGCAGGACCCCTTTTGGATCCCACATGAGGGCCAGTGACACTGCCCTCTGCAGCTAAGATGGTGAACAACAGCTCAACCTGGAGCTGGGCTGCCGTGAGTCGCCAGCG